AGCCACTACCTCTCCTAATTGTTACCAATTGCAATCAGAATCCCATCATTTAGACAGCTGTACTTCAAAAGGATGTAAACAGCTGAGTGACTTTAGCTTTAAATGAGTAAGCGCAGATTAAGCATTTGTTGAATTCCCTAAAGCCATCCACCCATAGCAAAAGAAATATATATTCATCTCTTTTCACTCAATGACAATTTGATTGATTACTGCTCATCACTGATAGCCCAACTAAAGTGGACAGTCTTTAATTCAATCCATCTAAACTATTCATACTTTGAAACATTAAATTAAATTGTCAACTTTTATTTGCTTCATTGTAAATAGTCCTAATATTGCACATCCTTCCTCATAGTTGTTACTTGCCATCACAGATGAATCTATATCGCACAATCTATTGTTTTAGTGTGTTTTTCTACAATGACAGCCCAAATCAGACAGTGTGCCAACTGTGGTGTATCTGCTTACTAAACAAATTTATCACTTTTCTTGCTCTCTATTTATAAAATTCATTATTGCCATTGATTTTTTTTGGCTTTATCTGCCTGCATTACTACTTCATGTTAAAGAAAATTATACTTAAAACCTACAACACACGGTTTATCTACATAAATCAACAAGTGCCAGGAAATGACTATACTCAACAAGATATAATCAAATCATCACCCCTTGACATTCAATGGTTTTTCCCATCAATGAATTGCCCAACTATCAATATCCTTGGGCTTATCACTGTCTAGGAACAGCACTAGTTAAGTACAGTGACTACAAGAGCAGGTAGAGGCTAGGAATCCTGCAGCATGTAAATAAACTCTTGACTCCCCAGGGCCTGTGCACCACTTACAAGGCACAAGTCAGGAGCATGATGAAATACTCCCCACATGCCTCGATAAGTGCAGCTCCAACAACACTCAAGAAGCTGATACCACCCAAGAGAAAGCAAGCTACTGAATTGGCACCACATCCACAAACTTTCATTCCTTCTACCACCAATGCTCAGTAGCAGCAGTATGTACCATCTACCAAATGCACTACATAAAATCACCAAGGCTCCTTGAACAGCGCCTTCCCAACCCACAACCACAACAGATACACAAGAACATCACCACCTATAGTTTATCCTCCAATGCATGCACAGTCTTGATTGGAAATATACCACTGTTCTTTCCACATTGCTGGGTCAAAATTCTACAACGTCCCTCCCTAACAGCATTGTAGGTAGTGCGTCTACCCACCCTAAATGAACTGCAGCAGTTCAAGAAGGCATTTCAACATTACCTTCACAAGGGCAATTAGGAAAGGGCAATATTGCTAGGCATCCAGTGAAGCCCACAGGCCATGAATGAACAGAACAATTTGTAATATGACTGTGGCACTTCAATTCTGAGATGAATCTCACTGCCTTAGAAAACAAACTGCAACAAAATTATTTCATAAATTTGTTAAGGGTCTTTGAAGAGTAATGAAACATGTAATTGGGACATCTTATTTTACAGAACTACAAATATTAATGCTTAATGTAAATGTACCTCATCATCTGTCAATATTCATATGTAAAATTAGCCAAGACTGAAGTCCTTGCCAGTCTGAAGGAACTGTCAATAGAAATAAATAGCTCAGAAAAGACCTAATCTAAAATAGGATGTTTGGCGTAGCTGAGTGATTTCATCTTTATCAGTTCACAATGCAGACTTCACTTTCAAATAAAAAGAAAGTGCCACATTAATAGAGGCTTAATTATTACTTTGTAAATCATCCACACTTGATTTGAGTTTATTTTAAAATGCCTATTGCTATTGTCAACAACATTTGGATAATCTCATATAATGCCAAGATGTTTGCTATCAGCAGCAGCCTTTAATCAAATTCAATATTGTGTCTATTTCACTTAAAATGATCACCTATTACAAGGAGTAAATGTCAGGAATTGGTGATAAATTTGAGAATGAACTGTTAGCTTGTTCGTTGCAACTCATTTGCACCCATTCCATAAATCACTCATCACTGGTGTATCCTTTATATATATTTTGCTGATCATGATCAGCACCACACAATGATATTTTCAGCTCAGAATGAATCCCAGACTATGACTGTGTCAGAGCAGCTGCACTTCAAAGGCAGGAAGGGATAAAGACATTTGGCGGTGTATTACTTTAAAACATAGTCACCAACCATTTAGGATCCTAGGGGGAAAAAACACATTTTTACAGCTCAATAACGAACTCAGTATTGTAAATTACTTCTCAGCATTTGCTGTAGAAAAGAAAAACGTATGAAGCAAAAGCAGATTACTTTGTCCCGAAATGCCCGTGCTGTGCTCTGCATGACGTGTTATTTGAAATGCTGCACCTAATAAACCAGATTTCAAATATTCAAGAACAATTATTCACTCAAATCACATCGAAAATGAGATTGAGATTTTTCAAAACCTTTGAATCTGCAGATTCTGTTTAAATAATGATGTGTTTTTGTCAGTGTTTAGGTCATGTGCAACTTTATCATGACTTCATTTATTTCTTCAGCGTTTGTGACCTTTAACCTAGCTCTTACTCATCTATTAACAACATCTCGAGGTAGTGAGCAAGCATTCAAATTTACAACCTATTATTGTACTAGTTCACAAACACTTTCAGTAACCAAGTTATAAATGTCAATAAGCATTAATTATGTGAACACAGTATTTAGCTTTGGAATGTGAAGCTTTGGCCAAGTTGGCTTGAAATGAACGGACGTCACGGCAGGAAGTTTTAAAGCTAGATGCACTTCGTTAACAAAAGATTCTTTTTGTACTGAAGTTATTTGTGATCAGTCAATTTGCATTAGTTGCCGATGATCCAAAGCTCATACAGTTTCACTGACTGCAAGATGTTAACTCCTTTACTCTTCATTTAATGTACAGAACCAAAATTATCTTTCATGAAATTGTATTATTCATTTCAAATTAGTGTTAAAGATTATTTTACAAAATTAAGTGCTAGTATGGAGCCTTACCCACTCGGAGTGTGTACAGTTAATTCAGGCACAAGGTCCTACCATTAATGTTAATGCTAAGATAATGGCAGGGAGAGTGCACTAAGATTTTCAATAACCATTACTGGCAAAATCTCATTGTATCAGCTCTTAAATTTGGAAAGCTCTTTACTGTCAGAATAAAGCTTTCCAGTGTCAAATTATGAAATTCTGCTCTTTCAGTGACATCATGTGCTATTGCCATATGCCTCGAATCGTACACACCACACTTGTAATCACATCTATGAAATATTTGAATTTGATAATTTTTTGGCACTGAACAAATCTGTCAAAACATAAAAAAAGTTGCAAACTCCATCTTCAATGTCATGATGATTCAATTCATGCCAATGTACCTTCCTGATTACATCATTTATGTAAGATTGAATATTCAACATGTATACATGATTTTGAAGCCCAGGCATAAGATAATACTCCTACACTCCAATCCAAAAAATGCATTGGACAAAGTAAAGCAACAAACTGCGATATAATAAGGCAAAAGATTAAAGCTGCAGAAAGTAGATGTTGTGTACTGCAACTGCCCAGTCTACTTCTAATAATGTTAGCAATTGTACTGTCCTGATCTAGTCCCACGACTTTCAATAGTATGGATTACCCAGTTACGGATTATGGCAAGTTAATAGTTTATTTCCATTAGATTCAGAATAAAAAGATCCAAACGGGTTTCCAGAATAAACAACAAAATTAATGATTGATTATAAAAAAATCTTTTGAGAAAAAATGCAAAGCTGATCAACTGTTTGACATTTATAAATATAAATATTTACCCTTCTCAATAAGCCATTACACAAGTGCACGCACAAACACAGATATGCATATGCCCCAATAAAAGGAAAAGTAAAGAAATTTAGGAAAAGACACTTGTTAAGTTTTGGAGAATAAAAGAATAGATTTTGCAAAATTCCATTAGGGAGTTTGGCATTGTTGTTCATACAGATAGGCGTCACCGCATGGATCTCCTCAGAAGTCACACATTTAGAAGATGTCAGGAGAAAGTCTTCCAGAAGACTTTCAGTGAGTATAGCTGTTTTGTTTTTGCAGCTCTCACACTGGATCTTCAAAAGGATTTCTTAGAAAGGTGTCAGCGTTTGAGTTGGGGATCTTATGTTTTTACAGACTGCACCCCAACTGAACTCAAAACAATTTTAAATATCCACAATTCCTGCAGCCATAAAGTCAGACATGTGATTTACAAAAAGACCAAGCAATTCCACAATCTAGGAGTATTGACTCATTGCCTAACTCAAGACATGGGACACCCTTTTTTTAAACCACTTACTGGATGTCATAAGTACCTTTAGAAAAGCAGGTCCTTAGTACTTCAAATAAATCAATTTTCACAATCTTTTACTCAACAGTCCTCTAAACATATTAGCAAAGGAACAGCCTTCAAAACAAGACAGTGATCTGTCTCTCATCCTATTACCCAGTGTATTTACATAGCAGTAAGCAGCCTCTCAGCCCACTCTAATTGCACAGAAGTAACTAGTCTCCCATTCAATTGTAACTAACTGTAATTTCTCCCATTCCACCTTAATAAACCCAGAATTATGATCAATGTTGCTATACACCAACAATTTCCTTTCTTTAGAACCTTTAATGTAGAAAAATAGAAGATGATTCACAGAGATGTAATCAGAAATAAACCAAAGTCAACTCAAAGGAGAAAAAATTAAGAGGGCTGACAAAAACGTATATACGAAAAAACATTTTTTAAGAGGAACTCCAAGCAGGATAAGGAAATGGAGGGAGTGGTGGAAATTTGTTGGAACTTAGATACAAACTTGTCCTCCTTTAAAGTTCCTCAATCTTGTCAATTTTGCATCTAATGTGAGCAGAAGTGTGTCATTTTAGTAAATGCAACAGCACTAGCATCTTATTAGTTACAATGTAAAAAATGATAGCAGCAGCAGCACTGAAAAATAAATTGACTCAATTTATATTTACCAAGGTTTGACTGCACTCACCAAAGCTCAGCTGGCGGCTTTCACAGTACTCTGCATATTGGGATGAATCCATCATTCGAGTTTGGCGCTCAGCTCTCTGGGACACAAAATAAAATGGCTGCATTACTTTGAAGTTGGATGAAAAATTGTTGCTGAGGCTAAAAACGTTAAAGAATGATAAATTCTTTTCTAAACAATCATTAGAACAAAAATAAAAACGTGCATACTTCTGAAATAACCACATACAGAAAGGTGTGAGTGATTTTAAACTTGTGGCAATGATACATTACGATATTGTTGATTAACGGAATTATCAGTGTAGAATGTAAAATATAGAGAAATATTGTACTTGAAGTTATTAGTTAAAATTTGTGTTCTGTTTCGTAATATTTGATAGTCATTTTACAGAGTAAAAATAACTTAATAAGCAAATGTTTAACACTTTGACAGTGCAAATTATTTAAGAAAGAAGCAACAAAATGTTTGGCAGAATGGGCCTGTAAGAGTGAATGGCCTTACTCCTGCTTCCTTTTCACATGTTCTTAAATAAGGTTATGAGCAAGAGCTGGAAAGTGGGATCAGGGTGGACTGCATTTTCCAGCTGACACTGATACCATGGACTCATATATCTCTTCCAATGACACAATTTTCTTTCAAATAGTTCTATGTTTGGAGGTTGAAAATCTTGCAAAAAAAACAGAAATTCTGGAAATATCCAGTTGTGCAGTCTGCATCTATGGAGACAGAAACAATTAATGCTTCCGATCAATGACCTTTCAACAGAATTTGAAAAGGTTAGACATGTAACAGTTGTAAAGCAAGTGAAGAGCTTGGAACACAAGAAGAGAAAATGACAAAAATATTATCTGTTATAGAGTGAAAGGCAGACAAACAGGATGATGGTGCAAGGTGAACACAGATAACAGTAGGAGAGGTAAAGCAATAGATCTACAGGAGATGTAAATGGGAAAAGCAGAATCATTGTCAGAAACTGCTGTATGAAAATATGATTTTATCATCGGAATTGAATACATAATGCTAAATTGAAAGAAATACAAGTAACTCGTAATTGAGTGTTTAGGTCTTGAATGATGAGAAGGGAAGAGAGACTGCATCTTCTATTAATAAGGACAATTTTCTTTTCCAACTTATTTAGAAATTCAGATGAAAGTCCAAAAGCCATTGTGCTTGGTATCCAGGATACCAGTAATGAATAGCATAGGAGAGAGAGAGAGAGATGAGGTTATACCAGCTAAAAGGAAAAGAGTAGCAGTTGCACATTCTGCACTTTCATGTAAAGGTGCCAAAGGAGGCAGAGGTTGTGCTAGGATTATTGCGGAGTGCTCTAAGATGTGGTGGAGGGAACTGCCCCTTCAACAAGTGGAAGTAAAGGTGGATTTAGTGATAATGTTATACTGCAGGTAGTTGTGGATCATCCACCAAATGTCCAAGATAGGGTGGAAGACATTGTCCAAGAGAAGAGAGGAGGAGATGTCAGAGTTGCTGACTAGCCTCTGCAAGGTAAAGTTCTAGGTCACTAAACAAGAATAGCAGAATCCTTGTGAACAGAAATAATTATAATGTTGTCTCTAGTCCATCCTAACAGAGTATTATAATATCCTATCTTTGTGTCCATTGGGATAATGTGAATGGACAAGCTGTTTTAATCAATGTGGATTTACCATCAACAAAGCAAATATAGGCAACAAGCAAAGACATATAGCTGAATACAACTGCAAATATTGTTTTTTACAGGAGGTTGATGTCCCAATTTGAAAGACTCCCATTAAAAACTGGCTCCAAAGAATGCGAACATGTGTCTTTGCAAAACTTTGAGCTGACTATGCTATTCTTTTTAATAGCAAAAACAGAAGGCAGATGGTCTGAAAGGTGATTGATTGGAAAGGGGAGAGGTGCAACGAGATCTCAGTATCCTTGCACTTTTAGTCACCGAAAGTAAGCGTACAGATGCAGCAGTCAGCGAAGGCAAAAGGTATGTTGGCCTTCATTGTGACAGGATTTAAGTACAGGTCTGAGATGTCTTGCTGCAATTGTACAGGGTCTTGGCGAGGCCACACCTGGAGTATTTAGTCTCCTTATCTGAGGATGGATTTTCTGGCTAAGGAGGCAAAGCAATAAATGTTTGCCAGACTAATTCCCGGGATGGCAGGACTTGTGTATGAAGAGACACTGGATTGGTTAGGACTATATTCACTGGAGTTTAGAAGAATGAGGGGTGGGGGGGTGTGGTGGTATCTTACAGAAACCTGTAAAATTCTACCAAGGCTGGACAAGATAAATGCAGGAAGAATATTTCTGATGACCGGGGATTCAGGCCCAGGGTCACAGTCTACAGATATGGGTTGGCCATTTAGGAAATTTCTCACCCAGAGTGCGATGAGCCTGAAAATCTATGCCACAGAAAGCAGTTGAGGCTAAAACATTGAAAGTTTTCAAGAATTAGCTTTTAGGGATAAAGGTACAGGGAGAAAGTAGGATGAGGTACTCAGTTGGATAATCAGCCAAATGTCACAGAATCACAGAATCCCCGTGATGCCGAGAGAGGACATTTGCATTGACAAAAACATCCCACTCTATCCCCATAAACTCGCATTCATCATGGCCAATCCACCTAAGCAGCACATCTTTGGATTGTGGGAGGAAACTGGAGCACACAGAGGAAACCCATGCAGACATGAGGAAAACGTGCAAACTCCAGTCATCCATGGCTGGAATTGAACACGGATCTGTGGCACTGAGAGGCAACGTGCTAACCACTGAGCTACCATGCTGCCCCACTATTCCTAAAATGTCTACTCCTGCTCCTATTTTCTGTATTTCTGTGCCTATGCATTTGTTTGGGGTGGGAAGTTAATGCACATGCCTTATATTTCACATCCTAACCAAGCACGGGGCTGTCATCATTGTTAAACCTGGCTAGGGACCAGTAACCTTTGTTCAAAGTTATTAAATTAAAAATCCCACTTATTATCTAAAATAATAAAACCACAAGATTGCACATTTTACAACAGAAGAACTTTTAGCATTAGAGTGTCAACAAAAGCACGAAATACCATCTATAATATAGTCTAATATCCAGATTTAACATGAGTTAAACATGAATTAACAGGCAAATTGTGGACAAATATAAACTACAAATTGCACCTTAAATGGCAGATACATCTAAGAGTAATTTTACCATATTACTCAGCAGTTTATTTAAATACTACTCATCTTTATGAATTACAAAGTCTTCCAAACTTTGTCAGTCTTACTAGGAATTTCAGCTCCTCTCCTTCAATCCTTCAGGGATTTAGCCACTGCTTACTCTTCAACAGTCATTCTAACTTATATTGGAGGCCCTCTTGCTTCTTCTGCTTATAATGAATTGACAGGTAGGATTGAGTGTCTTTGGAGCTCCTTGCCACAGAGGGCTCTGCGGGCAGAGTCTTTGCGTATATTTAAGGCTGAGATAGGTAGATTCAGAATCAATACGGGAATCAAGGATTACGGGGAAAGGACAGGAAAGTGGATGTGAGAAATGATAAATTATTCATGATCCCATTGAATGGTGCAAAAAGGCCGACTCCTGTTCCTATTTCTTATGGACTTATAACAATTGCCCAGCTTAGACTCTCCCAATGACTGCTTACTTAATCATTTCACTAGAGACTGTATCCCATGGTTTTTACCAAAGTGCACTCCAAAATCTACAAACAGGCATTCAATTTCCTCAGCTGCACTTCTTCCAACACTGTGAATTTTCTTCTGCTCTGACTATTCTCTTCAGCTGGCTTCTTTGCATACCACACACCAGGTCTCATAGACAGGTTTCTACACCGGAACACCCAAGTCACATGATTAGGTTATTGAGCCACGCTGTCAATCCCGCAGTTGACAATCTTCAGTCAGGATTTAGCTTCCATCCTGAAGCCAGGCCAGCCCCAAAATCACACAGGTTAAAAAAATGTTGTTTTCCTCAAAACATGCATTCTCTTTTAAGGTGGTTTCAGATGGGAATGTCACACATACAGACCGCTTCCTTGCAAGCTATATGACAATTACAAACAAAGGTGGACCAAATCATGACCAAGGAACCTGCACGTGCACACAATATCATCTCCAAGCTCTTACTTGGTCTAGAATAAAATTAAATGCACTGAGAACAACATTCATGTGCCTTTAGGTGGTACTCATAGAACTACTGATGGTCATAATTGTCAATTATGACTATTTTCTATGATAAAATTAGAAAAAAATTACAAACCAGAAGACAGTAAAAAGCTATTGCTAGGAGTCTGGTATCAATACTGACAATTTAGAGAATTATTTAATGTCAATTAAGAATGCTGAAATTACAATAGTAAAACAACTGGATCAGTCACAACTAGAAACTTCAGGTTGCATGCAAAATTCAAAGATTTAACTTGTTAATATTGCCAAGGCTTGTAAAGTTGAAACATCGTAAACTTGTTCACAGACAGGATTTTAAAAAAAATTCTCTGTATCCATTAGCATATAGATGTGTACAATGAATTACAAATTTGGAACTGCTTTGTTTGTTCATACGTGTGATCAGTCTTTACTGAGAATGGTGTGTTCTTGAACATTTTACTCAGTTCCAGTAAAATCTGATAATCCCTATCTGTAATAAGGAGAGAAAGTTTGAAGGTCGGAGTGGCCAATAAAACCCGGCTTTGCAATAATTTGTCAAGATTTTGAAATGTGCACTAAAACTTAATGTTTGATTTTATATTTTTTTTCTCTAGAATCTGTCCCTGTCATCTTCAATCAAACTGATGAAAATGGATCCATGTCTGTGCAACCTTTCACCCCTGTTTCAAAATATCATGTTAATTAACTCCACACTAGATTCCTGTTTTAGAATTAAAATTTAGGTCAATTGAGATGTAAAAAGTCTTCTATAATGAATCAGAATGCATATTAAGAATGAAGTTCTATGTTTATCAGGCATGGCCTGAGATACCCAAATATATTCAGGAATAGGGTAAGTTTAGAATACAATTGCTATCAGCTCATAATAGCAAGATATCAAAGACTGAGAGACACATCTAAATGAAAGGAAGACGGGTAACA